AACTCTGGGCCTGGGCGCTGTCCCTCAGCTCTTCAGCTCAAGGCTAGCGCTCTACCACTTGAGCCACAGCACCACTTCCAGCTTTTTTCATTTTGCTTATGTGGTGCTGAGGAATCAAACCCAGGGCCTCAGGCATGCAAGGCAAGCGCTCTACCACTGAGCCACCTTCCCAGCCCCGAGGAAAGAATTTAATGATGTCAAGGCAACTGGATATATACATGTGAAAAAATCAAGCTTGATCTCTTCATTATACCACATAAACTTTATCTCCAAGTGAGTAGCAAAAAACAGGAAGTAGAGGCATGGCTCAAATGGAAGAGTGCCAGCTGTGGGAAGATTGTAGGGGGGAAGTGAAAGCCAAAGTCCTAAACTTAAACCTGAATAAAGGTGTATACACACAGACACTCTCCTGGTGATTTTTGTGATCTTAGGTAAGGCAACACCTTATTAGATACACAATAAAAAATCCAGGTGATAAAAATCAAACTGGACTTTCAAAAACTTCTGTGGGGCAAGCCATCTTAAAGTGAAAAAACCGTCAGTGTGAGAAAAAATCTATACATTATATGAGATAAAGAACTTGAAAGTATTCAATAATCAACTCAATAATCAAAAGGCAAAAAATCTAGTTAAATGTAGGTGAATAACTTTAATGGTCATTACCATCAGCTCCTGGCAAAGAAATGCAAATGAGATCCGTAAGATAAACCTCACACTCAAAGGTTATAACGAAAAACACAAGACAGTAACAACTGGTGATAAGGATATAGAGAAGTTCGGATTCTTTTTTACTGCTATAGGGATGTAAGTTGGTGCTGTGGAGACTAGTTTGGCATGTCCTCAGAATTTTAAACCTGTGGTTACCAAAAGACTCACCGTAGCTGGGCACCTGTGGCTCACGCCTGTAATCCTAGCTACTCAGGAGGCTGAGATCTGAGGATCATGGTTCAAAGCCAGCCTTGGCAGGAAACTCTGTGAGACTCTTATCTCCAACAAACCACTAGAAAACTGGAAGTGGTGTTATAGCTCCAGCAGTAGAGCGCTCGCCTTGAGCTGAAGAGTGCAAGGAGGGCGCCTAGGCCCAGAGTTGAAGCCCCACGACCAACAACAACAAAAAAGACTCACCCATTCTACTATTAGGTAGGTATGTACCCAAGTGAAATGGACATATCCTCAGAAAAATTATACCATACCACAGTATTCACAGCATTATTATTCCTAGATCCAAAGTGGATACAACTCAAACACCTACTGACTGGTGAATAGATAACTAAAATGTCTATTCCTGTAGAGCAGTATTTTTTGTTAATAAAAAATAAAAGTAGCCGGGCGCCAGTGGCTCACGCCTGTAATCCTAGCTATTCAGGAGGCTGAGATCTGAGGATATAGGTTCAAAGCCAGCCCAGGCATGAAAGTCCGTGAGACTCTTATCTCCAATAAACCACTAGAAAACCAGAAGTGGCACTGTGGCTCAAGCAGTAGAGCACTCGCCTTGAGCTGAAGAGCACAGGGACAGCGCCTAAGCCCAGAGTTCAAGCCCCACAACCGACAAATAAAATAAACAAAAATAAACATTTAAAAGATATTCAAACTTGCCAGTAACCAGACAAATGCACATTAAAACAAATTCAAATAACATTTCATATCCATTTAGCAAAGAGTAGAAGAGCACAAAAGTATAAATGCACGAACTATGTAAGTTTAGAGAAGACTTTCAGTCATATTGATAAAGTACTTAAGTTTAGATTAATTGAAAAGGAAAACCAATCATATCCTGGTTAATAGTGTTAACTAGCTATGACAGGTTCTACCAAAAATTTCTATGCTGAAATCCTAATTCCCACAGTAATGGTATTCTGAACTAGAGCTTTTGGATTAAGTCATGAGGGTTCTGTTCTTACGAATTAGATTACTGCTCTTATAAAATAGGTCCAAAGAGTTCATTGGCTTATTCTACCAAATTAGCAGGCAAGCTAATGACCAGGAGATGTATTCTCACCAGTCACAGAATTTACTGGCATACTGAACTTCCTGGCCTCCAGAATTATAGAAATAAAATTCTGTTGTATAAGCTTACTCACCTGTTAGTCTATTACAGTAGCCTAAAGAGACCAAGACAACAAGTAACAGAAAATATGCCATAAGAGAAAATGTTAAACTTTTATATTCATTCCTTAGGCTTTTTCTACAGAATTATTTACATTATGGGAAAAATATAATCAGAAGGAGAATCAATTACAGAAACATAAGTAAACTATGGGCTGATAATTATATGATAATTATATAGTAGGAAGAAATTAAAATACTAAAGCTAGTCCCTAGACAAAGGTCTGAAATTTTAATGATCTATTTTAATTTTAGAACTATTTCATTCAATCTGGTTGCTCATTCATTTATTATTGTGATTTATAAGACTCACAAGGTAAATATAAAACTGCTAAGTTAGAAAAAAATAAAGAAAAACTAGCCACATAAGTTGTTAAAGGAATTTACTTAAAGGTTAGAGTACTACTCCTTCCTTCCAAACAGAAAAGCTCCAAAGGAAAAATGTTTGGCTAGTGATTATTTGAAAGAGAAGAGACAGTGAAGCAGTACAAGAGACTAGTATAATAAAGCATAAAAAGTATATGAAGCTGGGAGCTGGTAGTTCATGCCTGTAATCCTAGCTACTCAAGAGGCTAAGTAAGATCTGAGGCAAGAAAATCTGTGAGACTCTTACTTCCAGCTGACCACCAAAAACCTGAAAGTGGTGCTGTAGCTCAAAGTGGTAGGGTAGCTTTGAGCAAAAAAAACTCAGGGAGGCTGGGAAGGTGGCTCAGTGGTAGAGTGCTTGCCTTGCATGCATGAGGCCCTGGGTTCGATTCCTTAGCACCACATAAGCAAAAAAAAAGCCAGAAGTGGTGCTGTGCTCAAGTGGTAGAGTGCTAGGCTTGAGCTGAAGAGCTGAGGGACAGCGCCCAGGCCCGGAATTCAGGCCCCACAACCGACCAAAAAAAAAAAAAAAAAAAAGTACATGAAGTATAATAGCATAGAGACAAAGGAGTCAAACTATATGGGTTAAAATTATAGATCTGCCATTTACTGGCTATATTGCTGGGAAACATTATTTATTTGTTTATATTATCTTTAATTGTACAAAAAGGTTTCAATTCAACATACTTATGAATACAATACATCTTGATCAATGTCACCCCTTTCATCATTCTGGAACAATTTATTTAATGGCTTTGTGTTTCAGTTTATTTACTTCTTAACAACTTTCCTCAAAAAAGTGGTTTTTTTTTTGTGTGGGTGTGTATATATTGATCCTGGGGCTTGAACTCAGGACCTCAGTGCTATCTCTAAGCTTTTCTGCATAAGGCTAGTGCTCTATCAAATTGAGCCACAGCTCCACTTCTGTTTTTTTTTTTGATGAATAATTGGAGATAAGATCCCATGGACTTTCCTGTCTGTCTGGCGTCTGGCTTTGAAACCATGATCCTCAGATCTCAACTTTCCAAGTACCTAAGATTATAGGCATGAGCCACCAATGCCCAGCTCAAAGGGTTGTTCTTATATGTACATGTCAGTATTAGTTTAGAATACTGTTTGCCACTGTAAGTAGTCAATAACTCTAAGAACTTTAAAAGAATAAGGACAATAATATGGTTTTTCTTTCATGTTTATATATGGAAAAAGATATGCAGCATCGCTGACTACAAAGTGATAAGAAGAAAGATTAAAAGTTGTAAAGGAAAGATTGGAAGGCATAATTACTAATAAATGGGTAGCATCACTGATCTCTGTATTTATTAAATCAGAAAAAACTCTGTTTATATAAAATATAAACAAAATGTACAAATATAACCTTACCAAAGGTAACATAGAACAGAATTGTGGACTTTTCCTTTATAAAAATTTAAAAAGAAATCTTACCTCCATTGAATGTAACCTCTCCCAGGCAGTCTCGTGGTACTTTTGATGCACAACGTTTATGGCAGTTGAATTTGCAATCTAAAAAATAATAATTTGTTATTATATTTAGTCAGGCAATATCAAATAGGATTAGACTTTCTTTAAATCACTCAGAATAGAATTAGTGATGATAGTACTACTAAAATGTGACAGTGTTTTCTTTTTAATAAGAACTCAAAACTCAGACTCAAAGTCGTGTTTCAACTTCTTACAGCACTTAATTTAACTTTCTGGAAGTTATATAAACTCATCGGGAACTGATTTTTTTTTTTTCATTTGTACAAAGGCTAATACTATGCTGACAGTTCCATGTATCCTTTCCTGTTACCTAAAATTTGTATTTCCGCACTTCTGTAAGACTTTTGTTCATCTAACAAATTTCAATCTATATATGTCAGGTATGTTTTCAAGTTCCTACACATTAGAACCTAATGCAATGCAAAAAGGAGACATATTCACCAAACTTTCACATGGAATCTAGCAAAGGGTTTCACATACAAGTCTGTGAGAAGGCACTGAGCTTCTCAGGCATAATGGTTCTCTTCAGCCTTCCAAGAACCTCAGGAATACAGAGCACTACAGATTAGGGTCAAGCAAACATTTCAAGTATGTTTTCTCTTTCTTTTTTAATTCATGCTTTCCTTTCATCTAGAAATGCAGCTATCTAAAACCTATAATATTAATAAAAATACATATAAGTTTTCTTCAAGAAAATACTCAATCCTACCTTTACACTGCATGCCTTGACGGAACAGGCCTTTCAGTAATCGCTTGCAGTACTGACATATTGTGGGACGACCATAAGAGTGAACAGCAAATGTATGAGGAACTTTTACTCTGCACATTACCATCTTTTCCATCCAGATTGGGCGACCACTCCAAGAAGGAATCCTCTTACTTGGTTCTTGGTGAACATGTGACTAAAACATCAGTAATTTTTGTAAGTATAAGTCAATATTAAAAACAAAGTATTGAGGGAAGAGCGTAACCACAAAAGTCATTCAGATTGCTAGCAACAATCTAAGAATGTGGATCTCAGCAGTTTCCTTTGGAAAGTTTAATTTGTCAACTCTTGAATGAGAAGAGCACAGAACCATTTTTTTAAACTTTTATGCTAAAAAATAACAAAACTATAGTATGTTCATTATCATCACTGGCTATTATACACCAAATACGTTCAACATTTTACAAATAAAAACCACAAAAACCTTAAAATGAATTTTTAACAGATGTTCAAATCTATTCAAAACCTGACCAAGGAAGTAATCACAGGAAAAGTAAATAAATTCAAAAAGTACTGCTGCTGTTCCTGTTGTATTACTCAACAAGAGGTCTGAAAACACTGGAGATTTTCAATTTATCTTAATAAACTCTAAAGTACACATGTAAGAATTTAAGTCTGATTATTTTTATGATACAATGGCAGTAACAAAAGTACTAAAAACAACATTAACCCTACTAGTTAAGCTTCAGGTGATTTCCTTTAATTTTCCAGTTTTTAATTTTTTCCTGAGATGAATAAAAAAAACAAAATTAAAGAAAAAAACATTAAAAATTAAATAATCTAAGAGGCAAATTTTTTATACTATGGCTCTTTCTATATAAATTAAACTATAGGTCAGCTCAATGTGGTTCATTCCATTCATTCAACAAACATTCATTGATATATTATAAATCAGGCTCTATGTTGTATATTTAGGAACACAACAGTGAATAAAATGTAATCCATGTTCCCAAGCATAAACCCCAAGTAATCCCCTCCTGTAATAAACTCCTGAAATTGTTTAGGTGCCTCCTATAACTTAATATTTATAACTCAGATAAGTGTGAGTCATTTTACATTGATATGTTCAACTAAGGGAAGCAAAAGTAGTCAGAAGAAGCCAAGAGACAAGGGAAGTAAAGGGAGGAGGCAAACAAAGCAAAATAAAAATAGGAGAAAGCAAAGAAAAAGGTCAGAACAAAACAAATGGAGGAGTATGCTATAAAAGGAACACAAATGAAGCTTGAGATCATTAATTTTTCCTAATATGCAGCCAGAAACTTCTAAAACAAATTATAAAACTGTTTATTTCAAGTGAAGTACAAAAAGAATGTTAAAATTCAAACCACACTTACATGCCTCAGATATCCAAGGTAATCTATCTGAGTCTGGCTCACCCATCTTGCTACCACGAACGGACCACCTTCAGGCAAACTATCATTTTGGGGATTCTGCAAAACTAAGGCGCTACAAGGAACTAGAAACAGATGTTTTAGAACTTTGTTCAACCCTGGCTCCTTCTTTTACTGGTGACTCAACCCTGCTTCTTGTGCTACTGCTTTTACAATTATTTTTTCTCTCTCAAGTTCAAAACAGACAAGATGGAGCGAGATTAATGTAGGCAGTCATCAAATACACATGGCATGCCTGTAGTAAGATTTCTTAACAAAGCATTGCCAATGGCTAGAGTTAGTGCCTTTTGGTCAGGGATCACTGACGGCATGGTACACAGCATGTGCACTAGGTACTATGCAAAGGACAATGGTTATAGCAGCCATCTTATTAGAAAAAAATATTTATGCTGTTGTCACTATTTTAATAAAAACATACTCAAGTAGTAGTAAGTTAACAACAAGATTTAAGTTCAGGTCTTTATACTACAATCTAGAGAGTCTCAACTTTTCCATCTCAGTATATATACCTGGATACAATTTCCATCAGTAAAAATGGTCTGGCTTCTATTGGTTGAGAAATATGGGAAAGAATTATCAGGTTTAAATCAGAATTTGGAGAGAGGAAGATGTTGGTAGATTCAACTACAGAATTTGGTTAAAATGTGACACCACTGAATCCACAGGAAATAGAAATAAGTAAAAGTTCTAACCTTGTTTTAATGTCCTCTATTTAAAAATTATTACTTTGGGGGCTGGGAATGTGGCTCAATGGTAGAGTGCTTGCCCAGCATGCACAAGGCCCTGGTTTTGATTCCTTAGTACCACATAAACAGAAAAAAATCAGAAGTGGTGATGTGGCTCAAGTTGTAAAGCGCTAGTCTTGAGCACAGAAAGGCTCAGGGACAGAGCCCAAACCCTGAGTTCAAGCCCCAGGACTGGCAAATAAAAAATAAAAAAATAGTACTTTGCTGAAATTTTCTTCCTACTAAAAGTAATATGATTTTATTTTCACAAGTTAAAGCAAATATTTGCTTAAGTTAACTAACTGCTCACAGAAAAAAATAATCCTGTCAATTCTCAATTATATTTAATACAGAAAACAATTATGTGAGAATTTTCTTTTTTGGTTTTTGAGACAAGAACTTAATATATAGACTAGGCTGGCCCCAATTATTCAATTGTTTAGCCTCTGCCTCACAACTGCTGAGATTATAGGGCTGTACCACTGTATCTGATCAATTATTTGTATTCAGTTGTCACTGGAGTATTAGTGAGAGAAATGCTTCCACTTTTTTTTTCTAATTTACTTTATTGTTGTTTTAGAGATGATATACAGGATATACAGCAGGGTTACCTTTACATATGTCAGGTAAAAAGTACATTTCCTTTTTCATCCCTCATTCTCTCCCAAATACCTCTACTTGTATATACCTTCTTTGGCATGAAATTTTCTTTCTAGTTCAATTCTGTCCCATTCTGACTACTTGAAAAATGTACGGAGAGGAGGAATATTTTTATGTCTCATCTTCAAATAGCCAGTCCTCAATTCTGGATTTGCTACCTTAGGTCCTTAGTAATCACATTCTAGCTAAATGCAATGAGTATCTTCTGTTTCTTAATAGAAATTGCCTTCTTAAATGTGAACAAAGACAATCTCAAAGTCAGATTCGAAGGATCTACTTCCAGCTTGCCTGTTTTCAGCTTATCTCAGTATTCAGTGAAGCTTTTCTTCTCAGGAATTTTCCTTCCTCATTTCCTTACCTATGAAATTAGGATATTATATGGCTCTGGACTGTGTTTAGGATTATGTAAGAAAAGATAAAAGTTCTTAGCAGAAAGCCTGGTACGTGAAAGCCTAAGAGCCTCTGAGTATGGGCCAGCCAGTTCTTTATTCTTGGTTCAGCTTCAGGAGTTTCTTGTTTCCTAACTGCCTTTTCCACTTTCTTCCTTTCTGATTTTCACCCATGAGCTCTCTCCTTATTCTGCACTTACTCATACTTGGGACTGCATGCATGCCTGCACTGATAAAAGTAAATTTCTTGAGAGACTTTCCACTCTACAAGTTCTACTTGTTCTAAAATACTCTGAGCAGTCAAACTAATTCAAACATATCACTCTACTTCTTACACTTCCTATGAGCTTTCAACTTTCTAAGACAAATGTAAATTAATGAATTTGAATGTAATCGTTGAGCCTCTGTACCCTCAAGTTTGACATAGATAGATACAACCACAAATTGAAAATCTAATTAGTCCTACGATGGCTACATCTGTATTAAACATATACAGATATTTTTGTCTTTACTGCCTAGACAATAAGGACATCATCTGTTGACTTACCATTAACAGTATATTAAGTATTATATTTAACCTAGGAATAAGTTAAGGGTGTACAAGAGAACACATATTTTATATGCAAATACTGTATCATTTTATATTTTTATAACATTTTATTACCTGCAGGAGATCCTGGAATCATGTGAATCCTGGATACCATGAGAACAGAGACTGAAAATAAGGGGCTATTTATGACCACATGGTCTCTATACCATAGCCTTCTTTTCCTACTTTAAAAATCTTGTACTAGAGTTAAGCAATATATAAACAGGAGATTTTTACCCTAGAATTTCAGCTTAGCAACATTTGCTGAGTATCAAGACAACCAACCAAAGCCATGATTTTGTCACTTTATACTCTACTGGTGCTGTTACTTTGAAGACTTCTTGAGTAACAGTTTCCTAGTAGGGAGTAGTGAGAGTTGTATATTAAGAAATTTGATCTGGTTGTATTTAAATGGAGACCAAGAACTAGGAAATTGGTTAGAAAGCTATGTCAGTGGTCAAAATGATAATACAATTTCAGTGTGCGAAAAATTCAACTTGTTGCGGGCCCCTAGTGGCTCACACCTGTAATCCTAACTACTCAGGAGGCTGAGATCTGAGGATTGTGGTTCAAAGCCAGCCCAAGCAGGAAAATCTGTGAGAGTCTTTTCTCCAATTAGCCACCAGAAAACTGGAAGTGGCGCTGTGGCTCAAGTGGAAGAGCATTAGCCTTGAGCTGAAGAGTTGAGGGACAGGACCCAGGCCTAGAGTTCAACCCCCACAACCAAAAATAAATAAATAAATCCAACTTGTTTACTGTTGGTAAACCTTGTTTTCATGATTAAGCTTTTACTTTTCTAAGTGTTGGAATGTTACTATATTTTTAACATACAACTAATGTTCTAGGCTGATATCACAAACCTCATATAAACACCAGGAAATACTAGTAAAATGTTTTTCTGTTACTTTTGAATACATACCTCCTCACTGAGAAGGGGTACACATTCAGGCTGTAGAGGTCTTGGAACTGAGAGGCCAGGTCCTGGCAAAGATACATTAGACAGCCGTCTCTTTCTTACTCCACTACAGTTATTTGGAATCTTGAAGGCACATCGTTTATGATAATTTAATCCACATCCTAAATACATTATAAAAGATAAAATTAAAGATTAAAAACATTGTTCTATTTAAGTGTAACACATAAAAACCAGTCTCTTGGGCTGGGAAGGTGGCTCAGTGGTAGAGCGCTTGCCTTGCATGCATGAGGCCCTGGGTTCGATTCCTCAGCACCACATAAGCAAAAAGAAAAAAGCCGGAAGTGGCGCTGTGGCTCAAGTGGTAGAGCGCTAGCCTTGAGCTGAGGAGCTCAGGGACAGCTCCCAGGCCCAGAGTTCAGGCCCCACGACCAGACCCAAAAAAACAAACAAACAACAACAAAAAAAAAGCCAGTCTCTTTTCTTTTCCTATTTAAGTGTAACATATAAAAACCAGTGTCTGGGGGCTGGGAAGATGGCTCAGTGGTAAAGCGCTTGCCTTGCATGCCTGAGGCCCTGGGTTCGATTCCTCAGCACCACATAAGCAAAAAGAAAAAAGCTGGAAGTGGCGCTGTGGCTCAAGTGGCAGAGCGCTAGCCTTGAGCTGAAGAGCTGAGGGACAGCGCCCAGGCCCAGAGTTCAGGCCCCACAACCAGACCAAAAAAAAAAAAAAAAACAATCAGTGTCTCTTGACAACAGTATCTACCCTAATTAGGAACTTAGATAACTATTTAGATAAGTGGAAGCTAACAAGGTCAAGAATTGGATATGTGTAGAAAGATTTCTTTAGAAAGATTAAATTAGATAAATCAGGTGATTCTGAGGTATAGTTCCTGTGGCAACCAACTGGGAATATACTAGAAATGTAAATTACAGGATTTCACCCCAGATCTACTGAATTAGAAATCACAGTGATGACCCTCAGCAAAGATGTTTTATGGTTCCTTGAAAAGTTTGATAACCATTGGCTTAAAGCACTGGCTAGTACCAAACTGTAGCATGTATACCAAATTCTTTCATTAACATGACAAGTATACAAAACTCAAATTTCAAGGTTCATAAATACAAGTTTTACTGGAACAGAGTCATGCTGTTTGTTTATGTATTGTCTCTGGCTGACTAAAAAAGATTTAAGCTGGGTGCCAGTGGCTCATGCCAGTAATTATAGCTACTCAGGAGATTGAGATCTGAGGATTGAGAATCAAAGCCAACCAGGGCAGGAAAGTCCATGATGACCATATGGCTGGCAAAGACTAAAATATTTAGCTTTCTGCCCCTGTACAGAAAATAACACATTAGAAAACTGTTTCATAATTAGAAATGTAAACCTGCAGTTTATTTGCTAGAAATTCAAGCTTAGAACTTTTGACAGTTTCATTGTTATATATAAGGAATCTACATTTCTAAAAAGGTAAGGAGGTTAATATTTATTTAGCTATTTCTTTCTGCCAAATATTTATCCATATTACCTTATTTAGCAATTTATAAAAATATTATGGTAGAATATATTTCATAAAGAGTAAATCAACCCTCAAAAAGGTCTGGTCTAAAACACCAAACTATTAGGCAGAAGTCTAGCTACTAAGGAGGTTGAGATTAGATAACAGATTCAAAGCCAGTCCAGGCAGAAAAGTCCATGAAAGTCCACTCTATCTCCAATTAACCAACTGGAAGTATAGCTCAGCAGTAGAACACCAGCTCCACAAAGTCCTGAGTTCAAGCCCGGGTGCCAGCACAAGATAAAAAAAGAAAGGGAGGGGAGGGAAAAAAAGAACAACTAGGTGGCAGAAGAAAAACCAGAGTCATAATCTCTGCAAAATAAACCCTAGTTGACTCCCTAGACACCAACTATCATCTTTTTTCCATCAATTTAAAAATGCAAATGTAAAATCCTCTTCCAAATTACTACAAAAAATTTGCAATCATGTACCTTCACATTTTAGTCCCTGACGTACCAATCCCCAAAGCATCTCTCCACAATAATCACAAAAAGTCGGAGCTTTGTAAGAATGTACATAGAGAGTATGTGGACGTATCTGGAAGTCTTCTACTGTGGCCAAAGCTTAAAAAAAAGAAAGAAAGAAAGAAAGAAATGTTAAAAATAAAGCAATTAGGAATACTTACCACGAATATTTATATAAAAACAAGAACTTCTAGGAAAAGTCTCACTTGAACATAAAAAGTATTTTCATCATTTAACTATAATTTTTCAACTCTAGTTCAAGATGTCCACTAGCTTCAAATAAATCAGGCTCCAATTCAACTTGGAAGCCTGTAAGTTAACATATTCAGATATCCAAAAGCAGTTTTGCACAATGACAAAATTGCAAATAGCCTTTAAATCTACTTTAGCCAATTAAAAACTGCTCAATGTAGGGGCTGGTAAAGTGGCTCAGTGGCAGAGTTCTTGCCTTGCATGCATGAGGCTCTGAGTTTGATTCCTCATCACCAAATAAGCAGAAAAAGCCAGAAGTGGCACTGTGGCTCAAGTGGTAGAGCACTAGCTTTGAGCTGAGGGACAGCGCCCAGAGTTCAGGCCCCACAACCGCAAAAAAAAAAAAAACCTCAGTGTATGATACACTAGGACATTGAACACAGAAAGTAAAAATTTAAAACAACTTCAAACTTAACCTCATTTCATCACACTGTTTCTCTAGGAAAATATAAGTTCTAACTTAGGATTTCAGGATATATCTGTTCTCCTCAGTGATTTTTATACATTGGTTAACAGAGAGGGAATCCTCTCCTCTCAGTAGGCAGAGAAGCAGCAGACACAAAGAGTTTCCTTTCACCCCAATAAACAAATTGAGTGGAAATCCTGTGGTTTGACAAGGGAGCCAAAGAAAAAGGCATGGACTCCAGGGAATGAAGCATCTCACAAGTGAAGAAGAAGCTAAAAGATGGCAATAGACTGTTGAGTGTTATAGTGTAAAAGATAAAATGATCAACGTGGTAGGGGGCAGAGAGCTAGATGAACAGGAGGATCGGTAATGAAAGATAACAAGATTGGAACAAATAAGGAAAGGTGGTGATTACATTATCAAAAATGGACTTGAGATGAGTTTGGGAAGACAGAACAGTAGTAGCATCACTCTGGATGCTTAGCTGGTCAGCTTGCCTCCTTTCTCTCATCAGATCTCTTTTCTTGACAAATAAGGAATATTACAGAGCTACAATGAACATAATGTTCTTTATTCCTTAATATTCCTCACAAATAATTTGCCCACATACTCTTCGATGAGACTAGAAATAGTGGGAGCTATGGAACAAGGCATGGCAAAAAAAAGGATAAAAGAGATAAAATGTCCACTAGGAACAAAAAGGAAGAAGCATTTTTTTAAAGCCATGCAAATAGTCTTATTTCTTCTGTATTTTGAAAATATCTTTTTCCCCCTGATGCTCCTTTTTGAACTTCAATTCTTCTCATCTATGTTCTTAACAGAAATAGGAAAAAGGAAACACAACTTTACTTGTTCAACTCAGAGAAAAAGAATATATTCTTGGGCTGGGAAGGTGGCTCAGTGGTAAAGCGCTTGCCTTGCATGCCAGAGGCCCTGGGTTCGATTCCTCAGCACCACATAAGCAAAAAGAAAAAAGAGCCGGAAGTGGCGCTGTGGCTCAAGTGGTAGAGCGCTAGCCTTGAGCTGAAGAGCTGAGGGACAGTACCCAGGCCCAGAGTTCAGGCCCCACAACTGGACCCAAAAAAAAAAAAAAAGAATATATTCTTGTTTCAACTCAAAATTTTCTTAGCTTCCTAACATTCACAGTTCACTTTTCTAGTTCCTCATATAACCTTCCTGAAAGTAAAACATCACATGCCAACCATTATTACAGACCGAAAAATTATACAGTATGTCTCAAGTATAATGGAACATTGCATTCAGTAGAGAAAATGAAGTTCTTTTGACAAAAGGGAAGAGGGAACAATAGGAACTATTTACTTACCCGAAAGAACAACTTCTACTAGATCTCCTTCATGTATTTCATCTGCTGAAGTAATCAGCTGCAGTATATTTTCTGAATTCATGTCATGGCGAAAGAGAAGAATTTTATCATACATGCCAAAGAAGCCACACTCTGGAAACTGTGAGAAAATAATCTTCTATCAATATACCCATAGCCTTCTATTTTTTTAAATAAATATTTTAATATTATAAAAGAATTTTAAATACACTTTTATTTTAACACTGTTTACCAACAGTGATTCTATCAACATCTAAAAGGTAAAACAGGCTGAAGTTCAAAAACAGAACTGTAAATTCACAAATACTGACTTACATCTCTTAGAAATATAGCATTTCTAAATTGCTGATTAGAGAATATAACTTTGTACTTTACCCTCTTTTCTTAGCCTGGCAAGGCAAGCAAGTAGTCTTTCCTACTCTTTTAGAACTAAATTGTCCAATATAAGGTTAGCTACTGTTTAGTTCAGGTGTGTAACTCCCAAAGGTCCATGTACTTAAGGCTTGGTCACCAGAGCAACAGTATTGAGAGACTGTTGAACCTTAATGTAGGAAAGGGTGTTGTTAGTAGGTCTTTAGGTTACTGGGTGCATGCCTTTGAAGGAGTCTGTAGGAACCTGGACTCTTGTAGAAGCATTCTCCTGCTTTTTGACCACAAAGTGAATAGTTTTGCTCCATCACATGTTCTTGTCATGATGTGTTGCCTTGCCCAAAGTAACAGAGCTAACTGATCCCTCTAAAATAAGGCCAAATCAAATCATTTTCTCATTATTTTCTGTATTTGTTACAGAAATGGAAAGCTAATCAGTACAGCTACTAACCACATGTAGTTAAATTTGAAATTATGAAAATTAATAAAAGCTTAGTTCCAGACCACAGCCACATTAGAAGGCCTCAACTGCCACCTTGGCCTTGGGATACCATATCAAACAGCAGTTACATCATTCCAGTAAACTCTATTAAAGATCAATCATTCTCAAGCAAAAGTACTAATTCTAACATATTTGCAAATGCTCCTCTAACCTCTAGCATTTACCTAATATCTTAATGTAATTACAAATATATGATTAATTGTCTATTTTTTTTGGGGGGGGTGTCCATGGGGCTTGAATCAGGGACTAGGTGCTACTTCTGATTTTGTAGTTAATTATCACAGACTTTCCTGCCCTGGCTGGCTTCAAACTGAGATCCTAAGATCTCAGCTTCATGAGTAACTAGGACTATAGGCATGAGCCACCAGTACCAGGCAAAAAAACTAACCAGAGCATTTGTGGATTTATTCTCATATGCCCAACTTGTATTATTCCAAGGTTTCCACATTTTCTGATTATCATGCCAAGATACTTAGAGGCTTAGTATGTAGACTAAAATATGAAAATATTTGTTTAAATTTTTATAGTAAATAGTTTGAGGTTAAGAGAATTTTGAATACTGTCTTCTAATTATTTTGTAATTTTGAATACTGTCTTTGGAAGATATAGTATGTTACTGGCCTGTGTTGACTGGCTTCGTATGAATCAGTTACGTGAAAGTATAAATAAATTTACTGTAAGATGTTGCTAATGACATGGTTTACCAATTTCATACAGTAGCCCTGCTTTGTAAGAACACATGAAAGAAAAATTTCTGATTTTATCATGTGAACATGCCGATGACATTATTAATCATATTTTCTGGTTTACTCTGCCCATTGTGGCGGGGGAGTAAGGGAAGCATAGGCAAATTTGCGGCCCCTTATGGCAATCTAAAATCTTAGGGCAAGGTGCTTTATTTATAAAGTATTTTAGTATAATAACCAACTAGCTTCCTCTTGCTTTCTAATTTTAGTTTTGTCATTTAAAAAGTCCTACAGAGTTCTCTAAAGAGTTCTTTAAAGACTCTAAATTTTTCAAAATTGAAAACAATGACAAATCAGAAAGAACATATATACTGACTCTGCGTGCGTGCGTGCGTGCGTGTGCGTGCGTGCGTGTGTGTGTGCGTGTGTGTGTGTGTGTTAGTCCTGGTGTGTGTTAGTCCTGGTGTGTGTTAGTCCTGGTGTGTGTTAGTCCTGGGGGCTTAAAACTCAAGGCTCAAGGCCTGGGAGCTGTTATTTCACTTTTTTTTTTTCTCAAAGCTGGTACTCTACCCAGCTTTTTTGTAGTTAATCGGAAAAAAGAATCTTATGGACTTTACTGTCCCAGCCAAACCACAATCCTCAAGATCTCAGCTCCCCAAGAAGCGAGGATTATAGGCATGAGTCACTGGTGCCTAACTATTTATATATTTCTAAACCTGGAAAATAATGTGAAAGTATAGACATATCTAAATTTTTTTCTTTCTTTTTCCCAAGAGACAGGGTATTGCTATGTGATCCAGTCTGGATTCACCATACATTCAAAGCAGTAATGTTTTAGCTTCCTGGTGCTTGGTTTAAGGGGTCACCACAATCCCAGTCAGAAATATTTCAAATTTTATTAGGGTGCTACTGGCTTATTCCTGTAATACTAGCTATTTAGGAGGCTGCGACCTGGAAGATCATGATTTAAAACTAGCCTAGGCAGAGAAGTCCATGAGAGTGAAATACTAGACTGGTGGTATGTCACAAGTGCTAGAGCACCACCTGTGAGCAAGCAAGCTCTAGAATTGATATAAGAATGGAAGGGAGGAAGGGAGAAAGGCAGGAATTGAGGTTGGAAGGTAGGAGGGAGGGAGGGAGGGAGAGAGGGAGGGAGGGAGGGAGAGAGGGAGGGAGAGATTTGTAATTTTTATAAGATTAATTCTACTTTCAACTATATTTGAGTTAGCAATAGTATTTATAAAAGTTCATAATATGGTTTAACATATGTCTAACAGTGTAAGAATTCTCAAAGAGTTCAAAACAGAGAGCTAGAAAATCTACTGTTTTTTAAAATTGAAATTTTAATTTTGTTAAATTATTATCAAATTTGAGAACAAAGTATGTTCAAAACTGTAATAAATCATGGGATCACTAAAAAAAAAAAGTTCCACATTTTACTCTTACAAAAATATCTAACAAATATCTGCAAAAATGAAATTGGTTTATTTTTAAATTATAATTCTCGCATATTGGCTATGTCCAAGGTATCGGTCCCACCATTTATAAAGAGGATCTTACAACCTAGTAGAAAGATAGAAATAAACACAAATATTATACAACAATAAGGTAATGGCAAATAACATTTTTTAAAAATCTGTAATAGGAGTAAATAACTTGGGAGTAGAAGGATCCAGTGTGTTATTTGAACAAAACTGTAAGAGAAAGGGAGAGAAGAGGGGAAGGTGAAAGAAATGGAAGGGAAAAAGGAAATGGAGACAGGACAACGAAAAGCAGGGTTTCTAGAGATAAAAGGGAAAATACAAATGTCATCACTGAAAAAGCACAAGGCAAATGGATAGGTCAAAAGTGTAGCCGTGGGGGCTGGGAAGGTGGCTCAGTGGTAGAGCGCTTGCCTTGCATGCCTGAGGCCCTGGGGTCGATTCCTTAGCACCACATAAGCAAAAAGAAAAAAGCCGGAAGTAGCGCTGTGGCTCAAGTGGTAGAGCGCTAGCCTTGAGCTGAAGAGCTGAGGGACAGCACCCAGGCCCAGAATTCAGGCCCCACGACCGGACCAAAAAAAAAAGTGTAGACATGGGACTGCAGAATGAGGTAGAATAGAGTTGGATAGAACAAGGGCAAACATGCACATGGAGCCTGGCTGGAGCCATACTAACAAACTTGGAGTCAGCATGGTTCAAGTTTTGCTACCTATTAACTATAGCACCTTAGATAAATTGAGTAATGTCTATCCACATCAGTTTCTTCTTTACAAAATGGGAGCAACAGAAGTACTGGCTTCACAGGATTCTTGTCAAATTAAATTTCATGGCTATATATAACCGTAAACACTGTGCTGAATAAATACTAATGGTTCAAATGCTATTCTTTATCCAAGAGGGAGAAAGACACAGGGTTCCAGAGCAAGGCTGTACCAAGATCTAATCTGTTATATGAAAAAGATTATGTTGATAACACTGTGTAGAACTAGAATAGGAAGAGACCTGATTAAGCACTTGACAAAGGCTAAAACTGTAAGTTATGAAAGTAGTATCCAGGTCTAGATTACACAGTAAGAAACAGAAAGAAATAACATTTCTATAGAAACTATCTTGGGTAGATCTATGGATCATTAATCCTAATTTGACCAAAGAAATTCTGAATAATGGTAACTGAAAAATTAAATCATTAAAAACATCTAAGGAAGAAGAAAAACATTAAAATATACAATTTATTCCTTGGAACAAATAAATACAAAATAACCTCCTTAAAAGTCAAATAACTTAATGAATAATAACAGTATCATCAATTTGATATTTAAGAGATTTAAGCCAGGCACTAGTGGCTCATGCCTATAATCCTAGCTACTCAGGAGGCTGAGAGCTCAGCACTGCTGTAGAGTCAGCCCATGCATGCGCACGCTCTCTCTCTCTCTCTCTCAAAAACAGGGAGTACTATAAATATTTAGTTATTATTTTTATGTGTGCTGACCTGATGCCAATGACGTATACAGAAAATCAGAGCTTTTCCTAGACAATGGATTATATACTAAGTCAGAATTTAGTATAATAAAACAGGACAAACCTTCTGCTAAAAACACCCTGTTCAGTTGTACAATTTTGTGCGGGGGGGGGGGTGGGGGGGGGTCGGGGGTCGTGGTCGTGGCCGAGTAATCGCCGGCGGGGGGGGGGAGGGTTGTGTTATGGGGCCTGAACTCTGGGCCTGGGCGCTGTCCCTTAGCTCTTCAGCTCAAGGCAAGCCCTCTACTACTTGAGCCACAGTGCCACTTCCAGCCTTTTCTGTGTATGTGCTGCTGAGGAATCGAACCCAGGGCCTCATGCATGCAAGGCAAGCATTCTACCTCTGAGCCCCAGTTGTACAATTTTAAAAGAAGAAAATATTCTGGCAAGCAAATGCTAACCAATTCTTTGATTATATTTGTGAATCTGTTGCATTTGTTATTTCGATCTACCACTCCCACATACAAATCCTGGCTAATAGAGTGATATATATTTCCTTTTGTAATTATATGGAGAATAAAAACTAAGGTCACTTGAGACAAGAAACAAGACTAGAAGAATAGGT